ATGGTAGCACATGCCATAATCCTAGCACTTGGGAAGCCAAGGCAGGAGGATTGCCACTGGAAGCCAGCCTGGGCTACATAGTGAATTCAAGACTGGCCTGAACTACATAAATGAGACCCTGTGTTTAAAAAAAAAACATTCCAGACTATCTCACCTGAATTTAGGCAGGGTGTGGCTTTCCTCACCAATAACTGAATGATTGTCTATATCTTTCCAATAGGTTTCCATCTACCTATTTTATGCTACTTACTGCCTCTTTAGTAACCAGCCTACAGCAAATGTTTTCAGTGAGTGAAGGAACTTTTCCTGCACTTATGAAGCTGTCCAAATGAATTCTTCTGTCACTCAGAAACCATGTTATCAAAGTGCAGGGTCTAACCCAAGACTGGATATGGCCCAGGACAAGTCCTACAGGATCATGGATCTGGTCCCCTGGAAACCCCACTCCCCAGACTACTACTTACTTTTCCCCAGCAACTTTCCGCACTAATTTAGCTTCTGTCCCGTTCACTTCCAGCTCCCAGCCTCCAGACATCTTGGGAAGGGACTTATGCTTCTGGATTTTTTTTTCTTCTTTAATTTCATCAGCAAGAAATTCAACAAAAGCTTTGTCTCCTAGAAAGCAGAGATAATTCAGAAAGAAAGTCAATCAGTCGAAAACATGAAACAATTACGCAGGTTAACTGCACTTAGAAATCTGGACTTGAATTATTTTCAAAGCTCTGGAGCTTTGGTCCAGTCCACATTATAAAGCCTCAGTTTCTTTCTCTGTAAAAATACCATATGAGTACAAAGCTAAGCTCGATTGTGCAAAAGTTATTCCGAACGATGAACTCATAGCCACTTTTCACTACGAGATAATTAAACTCCCCATTACCTTCTCCCATTTGCCTACAAACATCATGCTTTCAACTAAATACTTTAAGCCTCCCTAAAGACCCATTTTCAAGAGAGCAGGCATAAAAGTACGTCCTGGTCCTTAATTTTATCCCCCTCTCCACCCATTAACGGAAATCCTTGGTGGACAGGGGAGTAGAGGGAATGCGATCGCGAGGGTTCAACCCGCCGGTTGCCAAATGTTCCGGACGCCAGGGTCGGTTCTGGGTTCTCTCCGGGTCCACGCCTCCCCACAGCCCCCGCCACGCCAGGCCCCGGCCCGAGGGCCCGAACCTCACCT